GTCATTGACAGTTCCTTCACTTTAAAAATCAAAATTCGCCAGGCGGTGGTGGCACACGCCTTTTAATCCCAGCACTTGGGAGGCAGATGCAGGTGGATTTCTGAGTTCGAGGTCAGTCTACAGAGTGAGTTCCAGGACAGCCAGGACTACACAGAGAAACCCTGTCTCGAAAAACCCAAAATAAATAAATAAATAAATAAATAAATAAATAAAAATAAATAAAAATTAAAATTCTCCTAATTGTGAGTAATAAAAATTTTAAAAATGAATTATGTATTTCTAACATACAATAGGACAAAGTAAACATGTTTTAAGATTTAATTTTAATTATGTATATTATATTATGTTATATTATGGGTATGTTTGTTCTTGGAAGACAAACACGTCAGAGCCCCTGGAGCTGGAATTACAGGAGATGGCAAACCACCTATCTTCAGTGCTGGGAACTGAACCTAGGCCCTCTAGCAAAAACAATATGCTGTGGTAACTCTGAGCTCTCTCTCTAGCCCCACTCCCAAAGTTTAGCATTCTTATTTTAAAAGAGAAGAGTATAAGCATAGCAAGACATAGTCAGACGAAAGCCAAACAAAAATCCAGGAGGACAAACACCAAATCCTGCAGCTCGACATCTGGTATGGGGTGGTGGTGCTTCTGCTGGCACGATTAAATTGCCCAGGCTCTAAAAGGCTTGGGTAGCCTGACTCCTTCAGCCCTGCCACTGGCAGCACAGCCTGGCTCATGGGCCCTCTACACTCCATGCCCGTAGATTTCCATGGCAGGCGTCCCACAGTTCTGCCAAAATCAATATCCCGGGGTCTCCACTGAAACTTAGATTTTGTCTTCAGTTTCATACAATGGTCTCTCAAGGCCCCCTTGCGGGGACTCTATTCCTGCCCCATATTGTCTATCCTCGGTTGCTCTCTGAAATCATGGAACAAGAATCCATGAGCCCTCAATTTTTCACCTTTCATGTCTCCAAAAATAGTACCATGGGGATGTTCTGCTGACACTTTGAGATGTAGCCTGTCCATCTTGGACTGCAGTTTTTGTGTGTGGATATTTGCACTTGAGTACAGGAGCCATAGATGACAGAAAAGGCATTGGATCCTTTGGAGCTGAAGCTGATAGGCAATTGTGAACATCCAACATGGATGCTGGGAAGTGAATCCAACTCCTCAGCAAGCCCAATATGAGTTAAATATAATTATAATTGTCATTATGAATGAATAATTACTGAGCCATCTCTCTGGGGCTCTTAACATAATAGGGTTGTTTTTGTTTTTTGTTTTGTTAGTTGGTTGGTGTTTGTTTCTCAAGATAGGGTTTCTTTATGTAGCCTTGGCTATCCTGAAACTCACTCAGTAGACCAGGCTAGCACCAAACTCAGAGATTTGCCTGCCTCTACCTCCTGTAGAGTGCTGGGGTCAATATGTGCCACAAACTCTCAGAGAATATTACTTTTAAGTCTCTTCTACTCTTAGTTTCCCCAACCCTTCTCTCTTACCACTGTTCACCTGTACCCACATGTGCAGATTTGTACCCTATAAATGTCTAGCTCAGAATGATCTTGACATAGTAGAGTCTTTTATTCCTGAGCATTTCTGAGAGTCATGCTTTCCTGGTGCTTGCAGCCGAGAGCTGCATCCTGTTGCAGGCGGCCCTCCTGAGTAAGCTCTTATCACCTGGCACTCTGCATAAAGCAGAATGCAGTGATTCCTAACTGTCTGTCTGTCCATCCTGGTTTCATGTCCTTTAAACCCAGCTAGTCTAGATGCAGAATAACTTTCCAGCAAAACCTGTAAATAACAATAAAGCGTTTATTGATAGCAAATCCTTAGTTGGACACAAACTGTAGATTTTATGTATTTCTACCACAAGATGGTGCAGTTCAGATATGAAAGGAAAAAAAAGGTTCTCTGGCTGATCACAGACATACTAGGACTTCAAGTGTATTGAATTTCAAAAGTACTCATTTAAATATTTAACCTTTTCCTGTGATAAACACGAAGACAGACTGAAAGTTTTATGTGTATATGCCTTTTATCAGATTATTATTGATTATTATTTTACTCCTAACATTGGAGGACATGTCTTCCCAGATAGATAGTCAAAATGTTTTTGAAAGAAGAACATTAACTTTTAACCTAGTGTTGGAAAACTCTTAGGTGAGTGTTCTATCAGCTAAGCTACTTCTCCAGCCTTCCATGGGAGATTGTGTTCTAGAACATCAGGACCAATATGACACAAATGGAGGCTCGGGAGAAGATACATTTTAAAGAATTGGTTTGCAGGACTTAGAGGGCTAAGTAGGGCAAATCAGGCTGAAAATTCAGAACGCATTCCTGGGGCTAGGGATGTATCTCAGTGGGAAACTGCCCCGCTGGCAAGTGTTAGGTGCTAGGTTCAGTCTCCAGTTCAGAATAACAATAGGCAATAGTAACAACAACAAAGAGTTGATACATTCTTGGTCTAAAGGCTGTGTTGCCTTCTGCTGACAGAATCCTTCCTCTGGACATCCAGCTGATGGGATGTGGCCCATCTACATTATGAAGGCTAATTCCATTCACTCAGAGTTTACTGATAAATTAATCACCTTCAGAGATTGGTATTTAGCCAAACATTGGGCTACAAAGACCTATGGATGCAACACATGAAATTAACCTTCACAAAGAGCTGAATGGAGACACTAAGCTTAGCAAGAAGGGGATGGTCATATTAATGTTTCCATCTTTAGTCATGGGTGGGACTTGATGGTTTGCAGCCTGAACATCCCAGAGGGACCTCCAGGGAAATTTCTGCAGAGAGATCTACTGCTCTGGCTTGCTTTTCTTCCAAACACAGACTTCTGGGCAGAAGAGTGAGCCTGAGGCTCATCAGGTTTGGGGCAGGGGAGGAATAATAACATGCAGACTTGGTATTTCTCCCCAGCGGCACCTCCTGTTACATTTCAAAATGAGATCTGAGGCAGTTTGCAGAAAGGTCTCCATTCTTATCTTCCTGGGAATAGTGAAGAAGAGACCTTCTGAGATATCCACCACTATCCCCAAGACACAACACACACACACACACACACACACACACACACACACACACACAAGTTTTTTTTTGTTTTGTTTTTTTGTTTTTGTATATTGCCTTTTTCTGTCTTATTTTTGAACTCTACCAAATGGTAGAGTTCCGTGTACCTCCACTGCGCCAAGTCTACTCGTCTCAATGCTACTTCTCTATGTTCTCCATATTTCTCAGTGCTCGTCCCTCTTGGCCAATCCTAAGCAGTCAAGACAGTTAAACAGCCTCTTGAATTATTTCTTCCCTTGGCATCTGGGGCAGCACAAGTCCCCACCACTCCGGCTCCCACTCCGGCTCCTTTGCTGGCTCTTTCTGTTCCTGACCTCCATAATGATCAGGTGCCCTAGGGGCACTTCCTTTTCCAGTCTATACTTTTTCCTTTAATGATCTCACATGGCCTTTAGGTTTTAAATATAGGATTATGAAGGTAAATGCAAACCATGCCTGTCAGGGGTTGACCTCCTTGCCAACCACAGAGTTGCCTGAGCCTACTCAGCAGGAGTTCCTTTTGGCTCTGTTTTCAAAACACATCCTAAGTCCAGCCATTTGCTCTGCTGCAGTTCTCTCTCAAGACAGCAGTATTTTCTGTTGGGTTTCTAAGACAGACTAACTGCCGTCCTTGAATCTGCTCTTAACTCTCTTCTTCAATTCTAGAGCAAGCGCTGATCCTGTGAAACCGGACAGATCTGGCTTCCTCTCTGCCTTCCCTTTCTACCTCCTGCTCAGCTCACAGTTCAGTTCATGCTCCGCCCATACTCCAGCTCCCTTGGCTCTCCAGATGCCAGGCATCCAACCAACAGCCTCAGGACCTGTATGTTTGTGGCTCTCCACCCAGAACACTTTCCCTCCCGATATCTGCACAGATATTCCTGTCCCCATCGGTCTCTCTTCATTCTGTTCTTTGTTCCTCAGCAGACTCACTTTAAAACAATGGCCACCAGCCATTTTTACTCACCTTTTCAGCCCCATTTCTCCACAGTTCTCAATACTAAACACTTACAGACACACATGATAAACAGTGATCTCATGAGACCCCTGCCAGTCACAGAAGTCAGCAGCGAGCCCTAGACAGTGAAGAATGGGCAGATCCATTTGGTTTTATTATTTTCAATGAATGTGGGCTATATTTTATGAGACTGATGTGCTACCTACTGCGCTAACAAGGCACCTATGGGCTACATGTTAGAGTAGCACTTCAGAATACTTCTTGGTTGACTAGCACCTTGAAGCCCAGCCTTAAAGTACAAAGACCATGAATGACAAGCAGTGGCCATCAATTCCTTCACTAACCAGGGGCAGTAGTAAGGGCTTTTATCCTGCATATACACTAGACTTTCCTAATGGTGTCACCACTCCTAAATCTGAATTATGTATGTATCTGTAACTGTATTATTTAGGTCATTGTGGATGTGATTGTATATACATATACGTGGTATAATCAGAGAAAGTTAATTAGGAAAAGGAAAGACAGCCCCAAGAATGTGTGGAAGCATAGATTCAAAAGCCTAGTTTATTTTTTAATCCAGTTTTTTTGAATCTAGTTTATTTTGAATCTTTAAACATAAGCCTGTAGCTTATATCTGAAAATATGAAAGCAATATTTATCTATCCTGTTTCCTGTCTTTTGATAAAAGAATCCCCCTTGAACTTATTAACATTGCCAACATCTTCTGAAGTTATTTAAATTTCACTCGTGTGGAACACTAATTGTATTTGTGTTCACTACCAAAAGGTTTCTCTTGTCTCTGACAGGCTTTGTGAAGCTCAAAAAAGTCTGAGTTTGGTTTCTTGGTTGGCTGCCATTTCTTTCTTAGGCCCTTATATTATGGTCTTTTTTATTTTTTCCAGTTTGAACAAAAGGTTTTTCTTTTAAATGCTTTGATTAAACAAATAAAATTCGGTTTTGTAATTTCCCCTTTTAGATTGAAAAAAACCGTTGATACTCAAATAAAGCTCCCTCGTCTGCTCCACCAGTCTGTCATGGGTGTTGGGAAGTCTAAACTAGATAAGTGCCCTCTTTCTTGGCATAAAAGAGACAGTGTGGATGGTGAACAAGACTGCCATAAGTCCGACTCCAAGAACTCTGAGGATGTGTCCTTACAAGGTTTTGTGGAGCAGAGCAGTGGAGCAGAGCCACCAACAGGAGAGCAGGACAGACCTGAGGCAAAGGGGGAGGGGAACGAGGAGCAAGTTGAAGAAGAGTTCCTCAAATTTGTGATACTGCATGCAGAAGATGACACTGAGGAGGCTCTCAGAGTCCAGAATCTACTGCAGAACGACTTTGGGATCAGGCCCGGGATAGTTTTCGCTGAGATGCCATGCGGAAGGCTGCATTTGCAGAATCTGGACGATGCGGTAAATGGGTCGGCCTGGACGATCTTGTTACTGACTGAGAACTTCTTAAGAGACACTTGGTGCAACTTCCAGTTCTACACTTCCCTGATGAATTCTGTGAACAGGCAACACAAGTACAACTCCGTCATACCTATGCGGCCCCTGAACAGCCCTCTTCCCAGGGAACGGACTCCTTTGGCGCTGCAAACCATCAATGCCTTAGAGGAAGAAAGCCAAGGCTTTTCCACACAAGTGGAGAGAATTTTCCAGGAATCTGTGTATGAGAGGCAACAAAGTATATGGAAAGAGACACGACGTGTGACGCAGAGACAGTTCATTGCCTAAAATGGAACACATGCCCGGCTGGCTCCTGCTTTGTAAACAAAATGATTCACCTTCACTTAAGAGAGTAGTTTCTAAGAAATGCTCAGATGTGAGTCTGCTTCCAAGAAATCTGTGTCGTACAAGAAAGGTACGTTTCTGCAGCCCTGGGATTGTGCTACTTTCAAATGATAAACTCAAGATTGTCAGTGTTTCTGGCACTTTTCTAAAATTTTCATAGGTCATAAATATTCTTAACTCATTTCTTGTGTTGAACCATAAACAGGCATGTGTGGCAAAATATGATATTGAAAATTCTCAAGAGACCTGAGGAAAATGGCTGACCAGGACAGATCAGACTGCCTCCACTCCTGCTTCTTCCATGAATTTTAGTTACCACAAAGTATCCTGGCACTGTCACACAGAAACATGGGTGGCCAGAATGGGACATGTGCAGTACTGACGTAGTAAGTAAGAGATCAGAAGTAGCCATCAGGGCCAGGTGGTGGTGGTACTCGCCCAGCACTTGGGAGGCAGAGGCAGGACGATCTCTCTGAGTTCATAGGCCAGCCTGGCATATAGAACGAGTTCCAGGATATCCAAGGCTACACAGAGAAACATTGTCTGGGGGGCGGGGAAAGACGCAAGTCTGAACACTCAGGCTTTTGGAAATAATCCAGCCATGTGCAATTTTATTTCTGCTGGAATTTAGAACTAGTTCTTACCACAAATTAGCAATCCTTTTGCTCTCAAAAGGGAGAAAAAAAAAAAAGAGTGTAACAGCAAGGGACTCTGTGGAAAGCCCTGATCTTTCTTGTTAGGTGTCTTCTGTGACCAGGGCTTTAATCCACAGAGCTTGTGAAAAATACCTGATTCATCAGCTGTTTGCCTTTAAAATCAATAACCTCTCCTGTTAGCCATAAGAAGTGTCCCTTGCACACAGTGTTTAACTCAAGGAATATTTCTTACCTAGGGCTTTGTGTGTGTGTGTGTGTGTGTGTGTGTGTGTGTGTGTGTGTGACAGAGAGAGACAGAGGGAGAGAGAGAGTGTGTGTATGTGTGCCAGGGAGGCTCACACAGACCTGTACCTTTCCCTCATAGAACTTCAACCCATTTGAGACTGAAGCAGTTCCAACGAGTATAGACTGGGCATGTGGCTAGGGGTGAGCCATGTCAAACAATAAGAAAGTGCGTGTTGGAGACCAGGAGACCTACTTGCAGTCCAATCTCTGCCCCTGAGGATGAATGTACCAGTGGGCAGCTGTTCTCCTTTGTCTGTGAGATAAAGGGGTTGGATTGATGGGTCTCTGAAGGCTTTTATTCTCTCTCAGGATGGGAAAAACCGAAGCCAGAAAGCAATAAGCAGAGCCTTAAACTTTTATGAGGTGAAGCACAGTGTAATCATTGCAGAAGACATAATGCATGCTTACAATGAACAGAAGGGTATTTTTGTATATTTGCATCATCATGGATATTTACTGCAGTCACAGGAAAGAATTACTATCTACGCCTCCTCGGGTCCTTGGGTTTGGTTTTGTACAGCGTCTCACTATATATAGTCCTGGCTGCCCTGAAACATGCTATGTACACCAGGTTGGCATGAAACTCACAGAGATCCACCTTGCCTCTGACCCTGACAGCACTGAGATTAAAGATGTACACCACTACATCCTGCTATTCAGGTTTTTAAAAGATACATATTTTTATAGGAACTCATGAACAAATACCTTTTTCCTCGTTTGTGTGTCTCCTAATCCTCACTTCTCTGAATCCGCAGCTGTGGGGTTCACTTCTTTATAGCCGTGAGCTCCTGGGTCCCACAGCCAGACCTCATGTTCGGTTCTCAGAAAGGTGACTGCTTCCATAGCATTTTCTCAACCTTCGCTGTCATGGTAACTTACTACTTAGCTTTGAGTTTATTGTCATTATTACTAATTACTATCACTATCATAATGCTCGCCATGTCTCAAGTATCAGGTAATGATAAAACATTAACCACCCACCCTTCGCATGCCTGCCAAACTGGAATTAATGCTCGATGGCACTTCTTCAATAGATGCTTTTATTCTTTATGGCTGACTAACCATCGTTCTCATCTCCAGTGAAGACTACAAAAAAGTATTCTGAGAAATATCAACCAGTGCTTGTCAAACCACACGGGATGATGTCCCAGGCAACCTGGAGTCCAGCACTTTTTTTTTTTTTACGAAGAAATAAATTTTAGGTGCTGAGTAATTGTAGGAATTGAAATTAGCAAGAAATCTTCATCAAAATAACTAATGATAAAAATAGGCTGAGGTGTGGGCCTCATCTTGGATCTGTATTTATGTACATGTATGTAGCTTTGAATATGCACACCGACCGTTCGGAGAAGTTCTGCCAGGTGCCAGTGAATGCCCTGGGTACTCTGCATCACCCACATGGAGCTTCTGTAGAAAGGTCAGAGGTCACACAAGACCAGGCTTCTTTCACACAGTGGAATATTATACAGACGTTAAAAATAATAAAATTCTGACATGTGCTAAAACATGAATGAACATTATATTTAAAAGGACAAATATTGTATGATTCCACATATATAAGGCACATTCACAGAGATGGAGTAATATAGGTTACCAGGGGCTGTAGAGGGAGAAATAAGATGTCAATTTTTTAATAGATAAAGAGTATGCTTTGGAGTAATAAGGAAGTTCTAGGAAAGCCCTGGGTGTATACATTGTGCATGTACCCAGTGCTGTGAAAACATACACTTAAAAAGTGATTTTAATGTTTGAACAGTATATTTCCTTATGTGCATTCTGCCCCAATCACTTTAATAAGTAAAAACAAAGCAAGAAATTGACAACATGCCCCCACAAACAAACAAACAAACCATAAGCTCAAACCTTCCTAGCTTTTTGCTTAGCTGTTCTCAGTTTTCCAGTTGTGCCTCCCTCTGAGAGTGCCGAGGCTGCTCCAGGCTGGACACACACATAGACGTGACAATATCTAGACTACTAAGTCCATGGGAGTGGTACACTCAAGGAGGAAAAATGTTTCATTACTATGTAATTAAAAACTGATATATGCAGTGATATTGAAGATCTATTCCGACTTCTAGCTGATTTTTTTTTTTTTAAGATTTATTTATTATGGATATAGTATTCTGACTGCATGTATGCCTGCCATATAGGCCTAGACTAGAAGAGGGCACTAGATCTCATTATAGATGGTTGTGAGCCACCATGTGGTTGCTGGAAGTTGAACTCAGGACCTCTGAAATAGCAGACAGTGCTCTTAACCTCTGAACTATCTCTCTATCCCTTCTGGTTGATTTTATTGGTACTTTTAAATTCTTTCAACTCGTCATCAGATAAACTCTTCCTGCCATGGATCAACTCCATGACACCCTGGAACACTGCCACAATGTTAAAAAACGACCCAGATTTGAATCCCAGCTTGGTTCTTTGTTATTTTTTTCCTCAGAAATAGGTTTATTTTAAAACAACCCCTCCACGAAATCTTTTTTTTTTAAATAAACAAGATTTGGGCCAGAAGGCTAACTGTTTTAAGTGTTAACTCAATCGTCATTAAAATGCTGTGGTTAGCAGAGCTTTGCTAAAACTAATATTAAAACAATAGTCAGGGCCAAGAAAGCCACAGAGAAGCAGAGCCGTGCCCTTTGGTCACTGCAGCAGAATCCTAAGACTGGACAGACTGTGCAGAAATGAGTGCTAACAGCTCTGAATCCTGAGAAGTCCAAGGTCAAGGCACTAACAGATCTGCTGTAGAGAGGACCAGTTGGCCAGAAATGGCACTTTCTTGCTGCATCCTCACAAGATACAGGTTTCTGAAAGCATCTTTAGTCAGGGTGTGAGTCCTATTCTTGAGGGTAGAGCTCTTTCCCCAATGCTCAAAGGTCTGACCTCATAACACCGTCACTTTGTGGATTAAGTTTTCACATTGGAATTTTGGGTGTCACATGAAGTCAGCTATCCATAAACCTTGCTGAATCTCAGTGTTCTTCTCTAAATTAAAGATAATATCTAACCCCCCACACACCAAAAAAAAGTTACTTTTGAGGACTGTGGGTGGTTCCCACTGTCCTAGCTAGCTTTCTGTTGCTGTGACAAAGCACTGACTAAAGTCAACTTGAGTTTATTTTAGATCCAAGATCTCTGTCCATCACTGTGAGACGTTAAGACAGGAACCCAATTCCGAAACCTGGAGGCAGAAAGGGAAGCAGGACCACGGAGGAACACTGCTTATGCTCTCCAGGCTCCTGTTCAGGCACCTTTCTTATATCTCCCAGGACCACCAGCCTATGGGTGGTACTGCCCCAGAGGGCTGGGCCCTCCCATACCAGTCATTAAACAAGAAAATATTCCACAGATTCCCTAGGGGCATTTCTCAATCGAGGTTCCCTCTTTCCAGGTGACACTATTTGTGTTAAATTAAACAAAAAACAAACCCCAAACTAACACACACATGCACACGCACACGCACATGCACACACACAGAGCATATCTATGCCGATAGCACTATCATTATTTAGCACATCTAATCTGTAACATGGGCTGGGGAAGAGGGAAAAATGTGCTTGTGCCTACCCACACCCCCACTATCAGAACCACTGCTGCTTGTAGGGAACAGATTTAAAACAAAAGGGCAGATACTGGGCCTTGTTTGCACGTGACGCATATAGAGCTGCACTGGAGACAGAGGAGTCTCCTGATCTGCCAGCAGTGAGGAAGCTGTTAATTAGTGCTGGCATTGCACATGGAGGAAGTCGGAGGCAAGGATGGTGCCTCAGCCAGATCCCATGCCTCTAACAAATTGGGGAAATTGGGCCATAAACTAGAAAATCGAAGAAATGGCATAGAGGAATGCCAGCCTTGAAGCCATTCAGGGGAAGAGTAGCTCAGGTAGGATGACTTCAGCTCGACTTTGTGAATCAATTCTGCACATTTGCATTTGGGGAGATGGACTATAATCTATTTGATTTAGCCATTCATGGTGCTCAGCCCGGAATGTTGTCTCATTTAGGAATGGGCTGACTTTGGACTGTCTTCCCTGGAGTTGGATGGTGGGCAGGAAAACCAGTCATGGATCTCCTTGCTCCTTGCTCTCCGATCTGGTTTATCTTCCATCCAGTCCAACAACTTCTTGCTGAGGTTTTCTCAGACCAAGACAGTGTTGTTTGCCTCAGCCCTTGACTTCTCTTTGCAAATCCCAAGGCCTTGGGGAGAAGTTGGACCTGACTGCATGGGGCTTGATGCTACTGTCTTCAGAAACAGCTGCTGTAGGCCCTTGCACATTCTCACCACAGTTGCAAGTCTGAACTCCAAGCCTGGTTGCTGCTGGTAGTGGCCATTGTTTCAGAACCTAAAAGAGCACAGTTGTCTCCTGGTAGCAAGTTCCACAACTTGGCTAAAATGAAATATGTCCCCCATAGTCTTGGCCATTTGAATACTAGGTCCCTAGTTGGCATCACTGTTTGGAGAGGTTTGAGAGATGTGGAGGATGTATGTCACTGGAAGTGGGCTTTAAGAATTTAAAGATTGCCGGGTGGTGATGGCAGCGGCACACGCCTTTAATCCCAGCACTTGGGAGGCAGAGGCAGGCAGATTTCTGAGTTCAAGGCCAGCCTGGTCTACAGAGTGAGTTCCAGGACAGCCAGGGCTACACAGAGAAACCCTGTCTCGAAAAACCAAAAAAAGAATTTAAAGATTTGGGGCTGGAGAGATGGCTCAGAGGTTAAGAACAGTGGCTGTTCTACCTGAGGTCCTGAGTTCAATTCCCAGCAACCACATGGTGGTTCACAACCGTCTGTAATGAGATCTGGTGCCCTCTTCCAGCCTACAGGCATATACGCAGGCAGAATTTTGTATATGTAATAAATAAAACAAATTAAAAAAAAGAATTTAAAGATTTGTACCATTTCCAGTTTGATCTCTCTCCCTCTCCCTTTCCTCCTCCCTCTCCCTCTCTGCTTTTATGCTTGTGGCTGGACAATGTGAGCTCTCAGTTCCTGCTCCAGCCACTACACCTCTCCTCTGTCCCTAACCCTATGGAACTCTTTCTTCAGTATACCAAAATAAACCCTTCCATAGATTGCCTTTGTCATGGTGGTTTGTTTTGTTTGTTTTTTAATCACAGTAACCCAAAAGTAATTACAATACAAACACAAGGTTTACCTGTAGACAAGATCTTCTCAAGCCTTGCCTCTGCCTAACAGAGGGCTCTGCAAAAAGGAGATCAAATTGATTTGAAGGTGCTCATTGTGGAGAAGAGACTGAACTGAGACCCAGAGCTGGAGGTAAAAACAGTAACAAAATCTTCATGTGGTTAAAGGAACAACATACCACACCACTGATCTAGGCTAGCCCATGTCCAGCTTTGAGTGAAAGCAGGTGATCTATGACTGAATGGGGCCATGGGGCGTGGAGGAAACTGTTGCGGTGTCACTGGGAGGAGGGATCCAGTGTATTGACCTTGGCCATCAATGCAGCTTCTGTGACTTTCCTTCTCTTCACAGTTACAGTCGCCTATTACACTGGAACAGCACAGGACTGTACTTTCCTCATGGGCGTTCAAAGGGCGAAGAGGAAGTTTCAAAGCTGCCAAGTACTTGAGGTCAAATAAGCCAATGATGAAGCGCCCACGAGCCTGGTGTTTCTTATGAGGGCCCAGTGAAAAGTATTAGATTTTGACCATTAACAACTGGATAAGAACACTGTTCACACACATGTGCGCGAGCACACACACACACACATGCACACACACACACACACACACACTTATATGTTGTATTTGGCAAACCCTCACTGCCAATTAATACATTGAGTTTGAACTGAGGCAAATATCATTTAAGGAACCAATGAATTAATATTGTGGGTCATGAAAATCACTTGACTTAACCCCTACAGGTTACCTTGTGAAAGTACAAGAACAGACTGTTGCTCTCTCCTTTCCTTTGAAGCACACTTCTAAACTGCTCCCACATCCACACTCTTTTACACCTCCATCCTGTCTGTCATTAGCGAGAACTGTCTTGGAAAACCATTTCCTTTGCCTCCCATGGCACCTCTGCTCTCTTCAGGTACAGGGCGTTCTGAGTCAGAGTGCACGTACGGTGTTTATTAGCAAATGTCAGGACTCTCTAAGTTCCTGGGCATTTAGCTTGGTTAGCTCAGTTGCTCGTGTGCTTGTCTAGACATACAGAGCCCTGGGTTTCCAGTACCACATGGACATGGTGTTGCATGCCTGTAATCACAGCACTTGGGAAGTGGAGGCCAAAGGATACGATTTTCAATGTCACCCTTGGTTATACAGCAAGTCCAAGTCCAGCCTGCGATACAAGAGACCCTGTGAAAAAGAAAGAAAGGAAGAATGTCTATGCAGTTTCAGGTTATAAATTTTATCTTATGTATTATGTATGTGATATGTGAGTGTGTGGATGTAGGCATGGACCATGGCACACATGAGGGAGTCTGTTGACAACTTTCAGAAGTGGCCTCTCTCCTTCCATTGTGAGTTCCGGGGATCCATCTTGGATCACCAGGTTCGCTTGCTAAGTGCCATCTTTCGAGCCCAGTAGTTTCATAATTTATTTAGGACTGTTCCTCCCGACTATTTGGGCAAACTACAGGTTTAAAAACAAGGACATTTCAACAAATTGTCTTCCCAGAGGATTTTTATGGATATATTGTAAAGATACAAATCCAACTCCTCCCTCTCTCTCTCTCTCTCTCTCTCTCTCTCTCTCTCTCTCTCTCTCTCTC